GGTTAATCAGTTTTAATTGACAATAATTATAAAAATCTTTTACATTCATACATACCGGTATTGTTGAAGTGGAAACTTTAATCCCTCTACACTTTCCTGTACCATGAAGTTATTGACATTGTTGACAATTTCCTTTCCTTGACTCCCAATCGCCTTTCCTTTCACGCCAATCTCTTTCACAGACATTGTTTAGATCACTGGTTCAAAACTATTAATAATTTAAATTTGAACAATAGTAAAAATTTCCACTATATTGCAATCTATTTGACAATTTTTACACACGGTGCCTTGTTCAAATTAGTTTACAAACTGAACTTATGACTAACGGACAGGTTTATATATCTGTTGCAGGTAAAATAAATCTGATTGATTAACACTCATCGTCTTAACGCTACTTACGAATGAAGGGATTTAGCAACCAGGAATTATTCCAGGTAGTTCAATTTTACACTTGTTATTATTAGATTTGTTTCTCCTAATTTTGTTTACCTAGGCTTGATATTGGTATTAGCCTATTTATCTAGGTACTAATGATGCACTCTAGGAAATCTCATGATTGGTATAGATATAAGCGGATCACAGTCTTAGTATTAATTTAATTACTTTCAGTTGTTTGCCAACTTTGGGGTTTTACCCTTCAATATTGTGTCTATTATATGTAGGTACCTGCTCACTATTTTAAATTTTGATTTATGGATCTCCATCAAATATCCACAAACCCCATAAGATTAATAATTTTCAACGCAATCAAATATAAAATATGATATGGTTAATAAATTAAAATATAAATAAGTCGAACAAACGTCTCATCAGATCCCAATTGTGTCAACAATCTCAACTTGCGTATCTACATACAAAAAAACGTTCCGCCTATGGCTTTCTGAGAGTGGGATGTCCCTTAACAGCGTCAACAGCAACATCATTTCTGGACATTGAAGACCACATACATTTTTAAGCTTTCTACGATATAAATATTCGCCACGATTAGAACTGGACCACATTAAGAGGGCGGTAACAGATGTCCATAAATCTTACCAGAGACTGTCACAACAATTTCCTATATTCTTATAGGGTACAATCGACGCAAGGGAGAGGGTATAAAGTGATGACGTAGCGGGCATAACCTTAGGCTGTTCGAACCATACCACGGAACTACCGGGCCACCCCTCCACAACGCCTTGACACGATGCGATGCCCCGAATTTTGTATGCTTATTTTCCGGACAAAACTCGTATAGTCAACGCCAAACAAAGTGGCGTGCAGGTCATCAAGGTGGGTGTGTTGAAAAATTTACATTGTTGCCAAACTTTTTGTAAAATAATAAAATTTATTATTTACATATCTAGGTTTATAAGCAATATTAACCTCAAATGAGAACAAAAATAATAGTATAATAAAATTATAGATCTGTACTTGCATAATCATTAAGTATGACAATTATTGATCAGATGACACTATGAAACTACCATATTTAATTGATAGCTTAAAGGTACTGAATAAAAATCCAAATGGGCTCCTCCAAATTTTATGCATGGTATTTATTTTACAGAATTCATACAGAAAAATGCATTCTAAAATTAGGTAAGCTACTGGTGTAAGCTTTTTCTGTACAATAAAGTTAGTCGGAGTTTCTTTCTTCAGCGCTGTCTGAATCTGAATCTGCATCACTCTCAAAGTTGATTATTAAAGGTTCGATGTCTGGTCGATCAAAAATTCGTTCTCTTTCATACCATTTAAAAATTTCTTGCTCAGTATGTCGAACACTATTTTTCCACATGTCTGGGGTAACCGTTTGTAGAGCCTCGTTCCACATATCCAAACAGTCTTTTTCACTGTTACCATCTCTACCAATATGTCTGTTATAGTAACCTTTTGCTATGCCCCAAATTAACTCAATAGGGTTAAATATACAATGGTAAGGAGGCAGACGAAGAACTTTGTGCCCATGTTGTTCCGCCAATTCATCAATCACGTATATTTTAGGTGGTTTGTTTCTAAAAAAGCAGTTATTTTAAGAATAGGAATAAACAAAAGAAATATAAACTGTCGACCAAAATATATATAATTAAGAAGCATTATGTACCGAGCAACAATACTCAATAGCTCTGTTTTAAACATTGTGTTTAAAAATGGTATGTTTTGATTTGTCAACCAGTCTTGGATATTTTTTTTTGTTCATGCATTGTTGGGCACTTTGTTCAATATCATGCTGTGATAAGGGGCGTTATCCAGTATAATCATAGATGGACTCTCCAATTTTTCTAATAACTGATGTTGAAACCATTTCAAAAAATTGTCCTGGTTCATCTCTCCATGGTAATCGCTCAATTTTGTTTTCGAAGAAAATATCGCTTCACTACCCTCAATAAACCCATTTTCATTTCCAGCATGTAATATAATGTATCTAAAATATATTAGTTTTAAATTTTATAGTGCAAATTGTGTAAAAGTACATACCTTTTACCATCTGTTTTAATAGCTTTCACGCTTTTTTGGTTTCCATTTTGCCAAGAGCGACCTATGGTCCCATTTTGAAATATCCAAGTTTCATCGAGGAAGACAAACTGGTATAAGGCCTCAACCTTGGCTTGATTGTATTGCCTTAGAAATTCCACCCTTTTCAAAGCTATACTTGGTAGTTCCATGAGCCCTCGTCGCGGATTGTCCTTAAGCCACTTAAATCCAAGATCTCTAAGCAACCGCCTTAAAGACGTGGCACTACCATCAAATAATGCCCTATCTCTTAATCGAGACCATAAAGTTTGTATCGTAACTTGTTCTTCTGAAACCATGTGTAATATGACATTATAATTTAGTTAACAAATTAATGCAAATTTCTGATAAGTTATTATAATAAGATCTTACTTTTGTGATACATATTATAGATCACTTCTCGAATGGCACTTGTATCCAATGTCGCTGTGTTGGTTACACGTTTAATATAACTCCGCTTTTTCTTGGGCGATTCTAAATTTGCATCACTTTTCACACCCTCGGAAATACGACTAACTGTCCTTAAACTAATTTTTAAAGCAGCAGCAACACGCTACAAAAAATGAAATAAAATTTCAGTATTATTAATATACATTACATATAATTATTAGTAACCTACCTCTTGAACAGCATTTAAAGGCAACATAGGCCCGTTGTTGTCCCTTTCTTGCTCAAAGTAGTGCATTAACGAGGCCACGAGTTCCTTACACCGACTATTTAACTGTTTGGGCATCTTTATATACCAAAATTGCCTTTATCTACTCGTAAAATGAATAATTTTGTTTTGAAACAAACAGTTGTTGATTTACAGTATGCGGGGCCAAAGGATTTATAAAGATTTGAAATGCCACAAATTGATTCAGTGTCAAAATTAATACAAATGTCAGTTCCCAGTTTAAATAAGTTTCAAGGTGACAATGTGTCAACGCTGCGAAATCGGTTTAGTGCGTTTACATGTCGATAAGTGATTGGAGCGTTTGCAAAACATTTTATTTCGCATAATGCGTCTAAATTTATCAGAAAGCAACTTATGTGATATTTTAATAACAATGTTTATATGACTATTAACCATAATAAGAGAGTAATGACCATTTTACAATTTATATATCACATTAATATGAAACTGCAATAGAGCAATTGTTTGTGATAGAAACCTAGGCATTAGGTCGGGGAATTTTTATCGTGATGACGTGCACGCCACTTTGTTTGGCGTTGACTATACAGTTTAATTCGGAGAACTTGCCAACTACATTCGATGTTATTTTGTCAAAAAAGACCTTTCAATTATATGAAATTGAATATTAAATTGTTGAAAGAATAAGTTGAATAATAAAGATATCAGACGGCAATTTGAAATTTATAAACAAATTCTTGGAGTAACGATTGATGAAAATTTGAGATTCCATCATCATGTCAATACAAAAGTCGTATTCAAAATTAAAAATAATTGTATACGCGAACAAATACGTTCTTAGTGCTAATGTTAAAAAAAAACGTCACCCGAATCATTGATCGTATCCGTAATACATTACTGTGATATATTTCAGATACCTGGGCAATGTGTCAAAGTTACGTTTGGAAAAAGTTCATAATTCTTCCTGCCGATTTGTTTATGGATATATCTGTTTTACAGTCGGCAAGATGCAATATAAATCTTTATCAGACACATGCACAGTAACAAAACAGCTGATTTTTTTGCCATTTTTTGAAACCGCCGGGTCTTTCAGGAGAATCATTTAATTGATTTTCGTGGAAGATCCGGCTGTTACAAGAAAAGGACAAAAACAACCAGCTGCTTTGTTAGTCCGGATGTGTCTAAACAATATTTTTCCCGCATCTTGCTGACTGAAAAACTAGTAAAACATGATCATATGTCACCAAAGTTGAAAGAAATTAGTTTGCTGGATGTGGAAAAAACTGTAAAATTACACTATTTCGCCTTGGTTCATAAACTGATATTAACTTCTATCCTACGTAGAAGAAACATACATTCCCTAAATTTAAGACGCGAGGATATCTTAAGTATACCTCGTCACCGTTCAACACTGCAGCTTATAACCTATCATAGAACTTTCAAATATGAAGTAAAGAAGAATGGGAAGACATAACTTTTAAGATTTTTCACATGTTTTTTTTTTAATTGTTTCCTCTTTTCTTGTATATATGATTCATAATATATTTATGTTACCATGCCTTATTAACGGCATCTTGTTATCATTGCTTATAATTTGGACTAATTGCTCTTAGACCACACGTCCTATACTATCTGTAATAGTCTTCTTAATAATACATATATTGATTGATTGATTCCAAAGTTCTTTTTTGTATAATGCACAGTATTATTATTCAATAAGAATATAATGTTATTTGCATTATTCTCTAATATCCTGTACTTTCTTAATAGGGTTAAATGTAAGAGTAGTCTGTGACTCAATTTCACCCTAATAAAGCCGAATTATTATTATCATCTCTTTCTCCTTGATAAAAGCTTTACGTGCAATTCTTACCTTTGACAAACAAAATGCTGACAATCCGAGACACACCAAAATGCAGAACTTAAAGCCTCCAAGAACCTCATCGTTTAGTTGCGTTGCTGACTGTGTACCATTGTAAATAGGAACATACTGATACCCCGTACACACATCCATTTTGAAGCTTATCATAAAACTGAATTTTCGTGTAGAAAACCGTAGAGTATATGTAAGGAAGGTAATCTTGTTATCAGTTAATTGAATAAGAAACTTTAGATTATGCTTGTGTAACAAATAGTAGAGCTTTTGAGAGGCTTCCAAAATCGCAATCGCATTTTTGAATTTTCATTAACTGATGCGCTTTATATGTAATTAGGGACACTATAATGATACACATCCACAGGTCTGCACGGCACGCATCAAACTCTTTGCATCAACACTCTTCGCAAAAGTTACATACATCGTAGGATTCAGAAAAGGTCGAGGTTAGATTTAAACTAACGGTTCCGTGGTGACCTTGGGTTGACTTTAAGCCTCATCTTCAAGGTTATTCTTAGGGAAAATTTGGAATTTTTCGTAAGGAAACTCCCCTTTATGACGGAAAATTCAAAATATGTATTAAATATAAGATGCACGACCTAGGAATATTATTTTGAGATGAGACTTAATAGTAGTATTTGTACTCCTTAAGGGTATGTATCCCATTAGAAGGGGTGAATACTCTAAATGAGTACAATTACTACTATTAAGTCTTATCTCAGAATTATTTCCCAAGGTTGTGCCCTCCTCAGGCTAGACAAAATTCCTAGAACTTATAACGAGAATTTCAGTAGTGACCTTGTTCTCAACCTTGAATATCAATTTTAAAGTCATTTCAAGGCCAAGTTTTTCTTAACTGCGGACCTCTCATTTTTCAACCAGCACTGGAAAATACTTTCATATGGCATGGCCTTAAAGATGATGATCAATAATCCCAATAAACTTCTAAGAATTTTTCATAGTCCCGCACATTTGGCCTTCATTTGACAAAGCTAGTCTTGTTTTATTGCGGCAAGTTTATCAAGGGGATATTCAAAACATGGACGCATAAAATGCGTACACCAATTTTCGTGGGAAAACTTTTTATTCGACAACAAAGAATGAGAAAACGTTCTTTTTTCGATTCAATCGAAAGTGATGGCAGGAACGAAAAGACTCTTCATATAAGGTTTTTAGGTATTTATGAGAGCTACAAAATGATACCACACGTAAAAAGATCCGACTAATAGTAAAAAAGTTATGGCCGAAAACCGAGGCAATTATTCAAATTGGTAGGATTCTAAATAACCACAACAAACTTGGAGTAGATTGGTCAAGTAGTTTTCGAGAATTTCTAATTGTTTATCAAAAACACCTGTTTTCCGGCCATCACTACTACTTTATGGAGCAATATACAGGGTTAGTTCAAAGGGCCTTTTATAGCAAAATACACTAGTTTACCTTGGCCGTATGAATCGCAAACCATTCCGGAAGATACATGTTATCTTTATGCTAAAAAGGATGGGTTTCGTTTTTTCTTCTAAACAAATCGTATTTTTGGGTAATTCGCAACGTATGTTTTTCGAATATCGTAGCGCATTTGTTCAATCACTCACAAATACGAGATGTTTGAACCTGTTTAGAAGAAAAAAATGTAACCTTTGTTTTTCGCATAAAAATAACATTTATCTTTCGGAATGGTATGTGATGCATATTGTCAAGGTAAACACGTGTATTTTGCTATTAATTGATCTTTGAATGAATCTTGTATATTGCTCAATAAACTAGTAGAGATGGCCGGAAAACAGGTGTTTTGGGAGAAACAATTAGACATTATAAAAAAACTACTTGACCAGTATACTCCAATATTTTTATTATTTAGAAGTATGAATCCTACGGATTTGAAGAATTTCAAGTAGTTGCGTGAAATTGTCGTCGCATTACCAACAAGTGCCAGAACCTGCATTTTGCCTCGTTTTACGGTCATAAAATTTTTGCTATTAGTCGGACCTTTGCGCTTCTTTATATGGAAATACGAGATCCATGCACATAAATAAAAATAGACATGAATATAGTATCTCCAATTATTTTATTGAAACTGTACAGGCGTTTTGGAGGCACGTTCGTATAAAAAATGTTTAGCGTCCAAATTTTTGGGTCCATGACATCGAACTTGCTTTGCCTTCCATGCCGTTACCACCATATTACTGTTGGAATCATGTTGCTTTGGAAGATTACATATTTCTTTTGAATTGATCATACATCATACGTATTTCTTCCAACACATCGTCCAACAAATCCTGAGCTGCCTGCTTCTGAGGTATCAAGGTCTTGTCTACGATCAGACCGAAACTTAAGGTATCTCTATAGGTGATCATGCTGAAGCCTAGACCTGAAAACAAATATAACGTATACAAACTCGGAAAAAGAGATGTTTGCGTCAGCTGGCATTATTGATGATAGATTCGTATGTTTATTGCGCTAAACATCAGCCTAAGCCAAAATACCTGAATGCCGAAAGAGATAAAATTGTCTTTTTCAATTCCAAGTTTATTAGCTATACTATTTTCTACTCCTATGTCAGAGATAATGGCTTTTTTAATCCATCTGGGGTAGCTAAATTACAGAAGTACGCTCTGAAGATTGATGTAACTGGTACAACGGAGTTATCCTGATAGCGTGTCGTAAGCAGCAATCGAACTCCTGGCAATGATTTAACATCAAATATACACTGAGAACCAAATTTGTCTGACGGCTTGAGTTCAATGTGTACGAGAGAGAAGTGTGTATAGATGTTAGGTTCAAACACCGATTTCAAATCAAATATATTTTTCTATATTAAATTGGCCTTTGGACATTTTGATCTATACTAAACGGCCAGAAAGCGATTTTTCGGACATTGGCAATATGCTGCTGGCCAGAATGCGTTCTGGTCGTTTTTTTCGACCATTGGCCGAAATCGGTGTTTAATCCTAACATAGACACATATGATAGAAAGGGATAGAAGCCACCTGGATAGCGAAGCTCAGCACCGCGTTGCCTAGCAACGCTGACGCGGCAATCTGCTGCGCTACCAATATGTTACATCAGTTCCGTGAATAAAGATGCATATTCAAAATATGCGTTAGTTTATTCTTTACGCCTAAATAATGGTTTTATTTTGAATGAACACATTTTTTGGAATTGTGTCGAATCTGTTTAGGGTTGATTCCCGATCGGTCCTGACAGCGTTCCATTTTAGGTCGAAATTGAAGGTCAGGGTCGCCACAAATTCTGCAATATTGCATCATTGATTCGTTTGATAACACCGCATCTTGTACATTAAAAGGCAAGGTTTCCACCTCCATGATCATAGTTGAGCGATTTTGGTCAGTATCCATCAAAATTGAAATAAATAATTTTAATCAAAATGGAAACAAAATATTGAATTATATGTTTGAACAGACCTTCTTGGGTTTGACAGTCACCTAATCTATTGTAGTAGCGTGTGTGAACATTTTCTGGTGTAACATATTGTCGACGCGTCAGATTGCACGACCTTCTGCGTCATCGTTGCTAGGCAATGTGGTGATGACCTTCGCTCTTCAGCCAGCTTCTGTCTCTTCCTAGCATGTGTTGATTCACACTTCTCGTGCTCAGACAAATTTGGTTTCTCTGTATACTTACTCATCAACAAAGAAAACACCCAATTCAAATAGTGAAATTTCGTACAGAGTGAAGTTGTAATACATGTTGATGTGAAAAAGTTTACTGTATCGTTGAATTTCCCTAATAGTAAATATGTCGGAGATAATTTATGTTTTCGAAACTAGCTTTACTTGGCCCCGAAGAGCTGCCAGAGTTTGTGGATGATGAACTCATCCATCATATCTCAGACATATTCATTGTGCGAAAAGTCTGAACATCTAAGAGGGCAAGAAAAGAGGCTCGCCTAAGCCTGAGGTAGTTCATTGTAGCCCTAGAAATATGGAGACGGACGTTATCTTTTTCGAAAATGGGCTCAAGGATTTATAATTTGGGGCGCCATTATATATGACTCTAGGTAACTACTCGTAACTTCTATTACGAGGGATGTCTCTTAAGTTTTGCATATAGAAACATCGTATGCCGTGCGGATCGAACGTCAGTACTGAATCTTAACCTCACTCTTTAGTAAACTTAAATTCAAAGTTTTACAACAATACGTGCAGTGTTCTCACTACAGTGAATTTTTAAGTGTCACCAAGTCATTAGAAAAATGGAACTCAACCGAGAACATTTTCGCGCCATAATTTATTACAACTTTCAGAGACAATTATCGCAACAAGAATGCCTTGCTGAGTTACTGTCTGTTTTCGGCAACGAAGCGCCCCTTCAGTAGACAATTTCCCGTTGGTATGGACAAATCAAACGTGAACGGGTGAGTCTTAGCGACGATCCCAGTGTGGGTGCACCAAAAACGGCAGTCACCCAGGAAAACGTCGATGCTGTGCGCAAACTCATCATTGAAGATTGACATGTGACATATCGCGAGATTGAGGCGTCCTTGAAGATCTCAAAGACCTCAATTCAAAAAAATTTACATGAAGAATTAGGAGTAAGAAAATTAGTTTCTCGTTTGATACACCCACCTGTTGACTGAAGAGCAGAAAGCAGCCAGGATTAATTGGTGTCAAAAAACGCTTGACCGTTTCAATTCCGGAAACTCAAAAAATGTGTACAGCATTGCTAGTGGTGATGAATCGTGGATTTACTGTTATGAACCAGAAAATAAACTACAGTCGGCTGTTTGGGTGTTCCAAGGTGAATAAAAGCCAACAAAAGCCATCCGTTCTCGAAGTGTTTCGGAAAAGATGGCCGCGACATTTGTGTCAAAACCGGTCATATTGCAACAATTTCTCTTAATGAGCAAAGAACTGTTACTGTGGATTGGTATACCACCATTTGTTTGCCAAAAGTCATCACCGAGCTTCGAAAAATCAACCGCGAAAGAAGAATCACCCTCCATCAAGACAATGCAAGCTCGCACACAGCCCAAAAAACAAGGCAGTATTTAACGGAAGAAAACGTGGAATTATTGGACCATCTTCGATATAGTCCCGATCTGAGTCCTAACGATTTCTTTACTTTCCCGAAAATTAAAAACAGACTGCCTGGTCAAAGGTTCCAGTCACCAGAAGAAGCAGTTGACGCATTCAAAAATGCCCTTTTGGATCTGCCAGCAAACGAGTGGAACAAGTGCTTCGAAAATTGCTTCGACGTATGCAGATGTGTATTAATCTTCGTGGAGAATACTTCGATAAACAATAAAGTCATTTAAAACTACCTACCGTGTTGTGTTATTTCCATATGCAAAACTTAAAAGACATCCCTCGTAGAGGTAGTATGTCGCCACTGTGGAGGAGGAAATACTGGAACCTGGCACATAATCTTTTGGCATTTATCCAAACGCGTGTGTATCCTATTTTCCAAAAGGACAATGGAGATGTTTGGGGTATGATGGAAAGCATAGTAATCTCTGTACTTCGTCATCGACAAGCAATTGCAGCTCTTCGAAACTAAGTACAGTACAGCTAGTCTGGTATGATGTACCTCAAGAAGAAATAATAATAATAATTATTCGCCAAAATACATTTTTTATATGGGCAAATAAATACGAAAAATCCACAGAAGGCCTTTCTGTAAGAATATTTGCAAGCATTTTGAGTGTATAGGCAACATTGCTGATTTTTTCGATCACATATATAAAATAGTTATCCCACCCTTAATGTGAGTCTATAAAAACTATATTTTAAACTGATAACTATATCGATTTTTGTATCCGGCATTGGGGTGGCCAAACACTATCCAGCGGTACAGCAAATGTTTTCAATTCAAAACTTAATCATAACTTACTCTTTACTTATATTTAACTGTGTACGAAATTTCGCCAAAATTTTGATTTGCCTAAGTTTCCAAAATAGAATGTCATTGACATATCGTATTTACTGCTCGGAAATAGATTATTCGGTGGTACCCAAGGTGGTACAGCATTACTTGTATCGGGCAGAAATCATCTTTTTTATCCAATAACCCTATTAGTATTCAACGATAATTTTACGTACCACACTTTCCAAAATTCGGTGTAATGAAAATTATGTCTCGTAAAACGTGTTGAAAAGTCGTTGTTGCTGGAACACCAGGTAAGTTGCTGAAAGTAAATGTTGATACGGCTCCCGTTGTAAAGAAGTTTTGAATCAAATTTTTGGGTAAATACCCAATAAAATCATTCGCCATAATGTATCTTACCTGCAACACGTAAAATGAGTAATAATAATAATATGTAATAATAATAATATTAATAATAATAATAATCATTTATTATCCATTTGACATAGTAAAATGTGTTGGATTCGTCACATTAAAAAATTAATTAAAACCTACAACAGCAAAACATAAAGAACCATGAAAACAGTCACAGAGTTCCAAATTCAACACTGTTCCTCTTAGATATCAGCAACTTCATTTCCTGTACGGTTAACCCAATCCACACCTTTGCTGATGACAGCACTCTACATGCAAGAATTCAAAGAGACGAGCCGATCTCTGCCGGTGAGCTGGAAACAAGAAAACTGGCGGAGACTTCCTCTGTGACGAGAGACCTGGAGGTTGTCCCTGCTTGGGGACGCAAAAATCTTGTACAGTTTAATGCTTCCAAAACATAGTTCTGTACCTTGTCGAACAAAAAGCGTCCTAGCTCTCATCCGGATGGCCGAGTTCTGCCAAAGAGCTGTTCATTTGGGCTGGTAGGGGTCCAGATCACCGAGGACTTGATCTGGCACGAACATATCTCGTCAATAGCTGCAGTTGCCGGAAAAAAAACTAGGCTATTTGTTTAAGACTAAGAGGTACTCCGCATGACCTCCTCACTCTATACAAGGCCCAGATAAGGCCTAGCCTCGAGTATTGCTCACACGATTGGGGTGCTGCCACCCCGACTACATTATTTATGCTGGATCTTATCCAGAGGAGGGCTATCAGACTGATCGATGAGTCTCGGGACCCTTTCGTACCGGTGGGCAGAAGGCGATCTAGCTCTCTCCTACCCCTACACCAACGGGTTCTGATCCTCAGAGCTCTCCTCCATGATGCCGCCGCGCGATGTGCCTGCCAGACAGACCCGCTTGACTTCGGCCTCCCATCGTAATCGTGTCGAACTTCGTACATCCACAGCTAGCTGATATGACCGCTCCTTGGTCTCGAAGATGTCGAGATTATGGAAGAATCTACAAGAGGAAGCTTTTACCAGTTCTACTAACCTCAGACAGTTCAAAAATCGGATTTATAAAATTTCTTTGGGATCCTCGTAGCAGCCGCGGTGTCCTGGCATTTAGGCGCGGCTGCTTCGGTATAAAAAAATTCAAACACAGAGTATAAGTTTTTCCTTGAGAGACTGCATTGACGTGCATTATTTTACGTGAAGAGGCAACATAGTATATATTTTTGGACAGGATATTGGGTGATCTGCTGCCTTTGCAATATTTGGCGAATGGTACAACTGTAAAAGGTGTGCACATCCAGAATCTTACAACGCCGACTTGTGCATAGTAGAGTGTTAGAAGTTGCTCTTCTGTTAAATTAGTGCGTAGATTTTTAAAAACATATGATTGAGTATTCAACTTTGAGACCACATGACTACATTGCCTCTTGGAAATCAAGGCATCCGTCCAAGTACAATCCTAAGAATTTGATATTGCCTGAAATGCCCAAATCGGAATTGTTTGTAATTTTTGTTTGTAAATCTAGCGGAACTAATTGTTTTGCACATTGTAAAATCTGACTATCGCTGTTTTATCTAAATTCGAATCAAGACAATGATTGAAAAACCATTGATAAACTCCATTTAATATATGTTCGCACTCATTTGGTAAAACAGGGTCAACCTTATTAGATACTACAATTGCTGAATCATCTGCATATAACGTGTTAACTGGCATGTCCGAAAGAGTGCTCTATTTGATTCATATGTAACGTGAATAAAACTGGTCCCAAAGGTGAGCCCTGGGGAACGCTCACATCTGTCTTGACTGGATCAGACCTTACTTCTGAAATAAGGTTATTACCATTATCAGATGAACATACATAGTGCATCAGTTTTTGTGGAAGCTGTTCATGATTAACACAAACGATTGCCCCATGCTTCTATCAGTTGGACAAGTTCTTGATCAAAACTCAGCAAAGACGTATGGGTCGACTTTCGACTGCGAAAATCGTGTTGATTAGTCGACAAAACGTTTGTAGATTCTAATGGGAGATTTTTTAGCTAGTATCTTTTTGGCAACACTGTTTTTCACAGATGACGCGTGAATCGTGTCTTGTGTCATTGTCAAACTTGTTCAGTTTGGTCTATAATTTAACCATATATCGACTTACGAACGAACAACGCTTGCAAATTATTGAATTTTCCTATCAAAATTCATGCTCGGTTAAGAGAGTGCATCGAGCACTGCTTCCAATTTATGGGCAATTTGGTCGGCCTACTGAGGGAGCTATTCAGAAGCTTGTGACTAAATTTCGAACCCAGTTTACATTATTGGACATTAAACTACCAACACGCAGACGTAGAGTGAGGACTGAAGAAAATATTGCGGCTGTATCCGCCAGTGTTAGTGATGACCGTGAAATGTCGATTCGCCGCCGTTCGCAGCAATTGGGCCTCTGTTACTCCACTACGTGGAAAATTTTGCGACAGGATTTGGGTGTAAAACCTTATAACATACAGCTGGTGCAAGAATTGAAGCCACACGACCTCCCACAATGTTTCCAATTTGGTGAATGGGCGCTGGCAAAGTTGGAGGAAGATCCACATTTTTATCGAAAAATTGTGTTCAGCGACGAAGCTCATTTCTGGTTGAATGGGTACGTTAACAAGCAAAATTGCCGCATCTGGAGTGAAGACCAGCCAGAAGCATTGCAAGAGCTACCAATGCATCCCGAAAAAATCACTGGTGTGGATTATGGGCCGGTGGCATCATCGGGCCGTACTTCTTCAAAGACGACAATGGCCGGAACGTAACTGTGAATGGCGAGCGCTACCGTGCGATGATAACAAACTTTTTTTTGCCCAAAATGAAAGAGCTGGACTTGGCTGACATGTGGTTTCAACAAGACGGTGCCACATGCCACACGGCACACGAAACAATGGCCCTATTGAGAGGCGAGTTCGGTGAACAGTTTATCTCACGTTTGGGGCCCGTCAATTGGCCGCCTAGATCGTGTGATTTAACGCCGTTGGACTATTTCTTGTGGGGCCATGTTAAGGCTAATGTCTACAGGGATAAACCAGCAACGATTGACGCACTGGAAGCCAATATTGAAGCATTTATTCGTGAGATACCGGCCGATATGTTGGAGAGAGTGTGCCAAAATTGGACCTTGCGCATGGGGCCATCTAAAGCGGAGCCGTGGCCAACATTCACATGAAATAATCTTTAAACATTAAATTATATCGACCGTTCTATCGACTCAAATAAAGATTTAATCGTTTTTTCAAATTTTTTGTGTTTTTTTTTGAAAATCAAATCCTATACCTCTTAAAAAATCACCCGTAATAAACTGAATTAGTCGATCCAAAAAGCAGTATTCAAACGTTTTCGAAAAGCAAAAAGGGATTGGAACTGGACTGTAGTTAGAAATATTTGAAGGATCCCCTTTTTGGAAAATCGGAAATACATTGCTGGGCAAGCTTACCAGTGCTGAAACTTAGATTTATCATAAACACAAATGGTTTAAAAACAAAAATGGATAAGAATGGGTAATGTTTTATCCGTTAAATTCTAACGGAATTCGATAACAATGAATCCTTTAAAAGTTGGCTACACAAAAAATTCTCTATTAACACAGACATAACCTGCACGGAGAAAAACTTGCTAACCAAACTGACTATTAATCACTTTTTACATCGAAGATAACAAATAGTATGTGTGCATTAAATGAAACTGTATTTCATCTCAATCAAACTTGGCTTAGCTTGCTCGCGTTTAATAAGATTCTCTATTGTTTGGGAACAGATTCACTTTCCGTAGCTACTTGTTTAATTGCTTTGAAGATATATCGGCTAGTAACAAGTAAACCGTTCACATATCATTATTTGTACGTGCTACGAGTAAACTGTTTGGTTACTAAATATATAAAATTTAGCACTCGGATCTTCTCGAGTCTAAACAACACCTGATCATGTTATCATTGATTAACGTATTTTATCTGAAGATAGCCAACATAATACTACTACGAGTATATTCCGAAATCCAAAAATTATTATACTAAGTGACATATAAATCCGAACACCCAGTTTAAATGGTTTTATTTTAATAAAAGTTGGTGAATGTATTTATCTTACTGTAAATAACAAGTGTAAATTTTCACCCTTATCAGTTGGACATTCCGGTTTTTATACTGCTTTTTTTTAATTCACTAACGCTCTAAAAATGAATATTTCAGCCGCAGTAAAGAATCAACGTTGGCGTATTTTGGTTCTTGACATCCTTTACGATCGGTTACGATGCCTAGAGTACGGAGACCTGTACGATTTCGTCAACTTAGTGAGTTTGATAGGGGCCGTATAGTGGGACTTCGGGAAGCTGGACTTTCTTTTCGGGCAATTACAGTTAGAGTGCAAAGAAGTGTAGACACTGTGGTTAGGTGTTGTCAGGCATGGCTTCGAGAAGGCCGTACGCAAAGAGCAAGGGGCACTGGACGCCGCCGTAGAACAACAGACCGTGAAGATCGCCGCCTAAGATTATTGGCCTTAAGGGACCGTTTCTCCACTACCAGGTCCATTGCAAATGAATGGTTTGCAGAACACGGATGACCTATTGGCATGCGAAGTGTTTACCGACGAATGAGAAGTTTTGGCTTGTTTTCATACCGGCCACACTGGGTCCTCCCTTTAACTCGAGAACACCGACGTAATCGCCTTGAGTGGTGCGGACAACGGTCACTCTGGGATCAGGAATGGAACAGTATTGTCTTTAGTGACGAGTCTCGATTTTGTTTAGGCATGCACGATGGTCGTGCCAGGGTTAGAAGGCGACGTGGTGAAAGGAGGAATCCACAGTTTTTTGTTGAAAGACATGTTCATCACACTGTTGGAGTTATGGTTTGGGGTGCTATAGCTTATGGTTCCAGGTCACCTTTAATCTTCATCAGAGGTAACATGAACGCGCAGCGTTATATCCACGAAGTTCTAGAACCCCATCTTTTACCCTATCTTGACACCCTGGCAGATCCAACTTTCCAACAAGATAATG